ACAAATAGAGATGGGCAAATCACCTGCCGTAACCATTCGGCAGCACCGCTTGCACTGGTATCGGGGGTACTGTAACACTTTACCCGATTTGCATGTGTAAAGAGTGACGCAAACTGCCTTACTTCCTATGTCATGTGCACCGGCCCAAGCTCTTTTTTGGAATTCAGCAACCCTGTGTTCCCAACGTTGTTTGACCACGGACTGAGAAGTTTGGACCGCTTGGACAGCAAAACCCTGCCTAGGGATTGGGGGGACCTTACGCCAGGCATGTACTTTTTGCAAGTGGTTTTTGCGTTTGTACGAGCGGCCCGAAGATGGCTCAGCTAGGGAAATTTTGAAATCGCACAGTGAACACGACCACCAAAATTTTGTGTGACCGCCATCAGCTTCGGATGGCATTAGTGGAATGCCCCCAAACAATTTGGGAGGGGATGATAAACTATTTACCATGCTAAGTCTTTTTTGGTTGTTCAAAAAGGAGAAGTGATTCAAAAGGTCTTGGCTCTCCGCTCTCTCCTTTGCAATCGATTCCAGAGTTTGAGCCCACCACTGATTGGCGAGTTGCAATCGTTTGGCAATGCTGGGCAACTTGGAGCCACCAGCGGCATTGCTGGCAGAACACAATGTTTGCACGCCCCGATTCCAATGGGTGAAGGATTCATCGCAGGCTTGACACTTCCATCGGCGCCAGCCTATGTTGACAGGTGTGAGCTCATGCATGCCTGCCCACCCGCGCTTCTTTGCCAACAGCAACCAAGCTTGGCACCGCTTGGACCTTTCTTCCCGCTTGGTTTGGACTCCCTCACCAGGAGCACCCGGAGGGTCAGGCGGCATGTCAGAATATTGGATTCCGTGAACCTGATTTAAGTGTTTTTTGCGACGCGGCCCATGACACGTGAGGTCTTTGTGCTTCAAGACCTGAAAACCGCACGTGCAAGTCCACCAAACAGAGATAAGGTCGGGCAGCTGAACAAAAGGCTCACGTTTAGTAATACCACACGTCTCGGTTGCGGAAACCACTGGATTGGTTTTCCTCTTCTTGGTGGAAAGGTCCAACATACTGGGCACAAAAGTGTGACTACGTTTTTTACTCGCTTTAGATCCTGTGGCTGATTCACTTGGTGATCTTTCAGGGCTGAAGGTCACAGTGTGAACCGAGGGAGTGTCAGGCTGGAAAGATTTGGCTTGCTGAGCAACTTTGATTGGCACATTTTTGCTGCTAGCTTTTTTACTATGCGATCCATCTGGGCTGAAAAAACACGTATGTACCGATGGGGTGCTTGGCACTGATTCCGCAAAAGAAGCTGGCTTGACATCAGAATCTGCCTTTTTGTTGCGAGGGTTTGTGGACCCTGGAGTGTTCGTGCCAGCACCGGCTAGTTTCTGAGAAGGCGGGATATCAGTCTCACGCAACCACCTTTCTGGAAATTTGGTGCCAGTTGGTGGGATTAGCAACTGGTAATGCCCGCTTTGGAGCGTCACTGCGATTGGTTGGCAACCTTTGGCTTGGCATGCGATACCCTTTGAAAATCGTGGAGCATGGGTGTAACGTTGCCAGACTTCCGTGCCATCCTTCTGGACATCACAACTCCACAGGATCAGAACAGTTCCTGTCTTTTCACAAACTGCCTGAATCTGTATACCATCAATCCAAGCACCTTTCTTGGAGGTGGCTTGAATCCATGCTTCAAATGAATCAAATTTTTCTCCTGGGGCAGGATCGCTTGCAAAGAACTGACTGTATCGAGCCAAGCGTTGAAGTTTGCGAATATGTTGAAACACACTTGCACGAAGATTGGATGCGTTTCGTTGCGCAGTTTCGGCATCCAGAAACTGCCCATTTTTATTGAGTTCCAGCCCTTGCGAAACAACTAAGTATCCACAGTCTCCTTCGCCCCCGCACTCATGTCTCTTCCACCCTGCGTGAAGTAAGGCTTCCAATTCAGACACTGCTTTTGGCGGGGATGGCACTTCCGGAGTGGCTGGATCAATTTGGGTTGCATCAATCATGTCCGATGCTGCAGGGCTAAGACTACGCTTTCGCGCTGGGGCATCATCAGCGCGTGTTTGTGCGCGTAATGTTCTTGGAGGCCCTGGCACGGACTGGTCATCTCGCCATTGTTTGCGAGGGCCTGGCACAGCTTGAGCTTTACAAGCCTGTGCCTTTTGAGGTGCTTTGTGGATATATATTCTAGTGGATGGTGGAATTCGGTATTCCCAAGCTGTCTGCGAAGGCAATCCCGATTGGGGGGACTTTGCTTTGATCCACCAACTAGTTTGTCTGCTTTTTCGTTGGCTTTGTCTACTTAATATACATGGTTCTTCCCAGTTTTGCTCCTGAAGAAACTGAAGAACCTCTTCCTGCTGCCAGTCATGCGGAAAGCCAGTGGCGCACCAGTGGCTGAAGTTGCTGGCAAAGGCCGCTGTGTCTTGCGGCGATGCAAAGAGGCCCAAGTCATTGGATCCACCTTTCCTGAGCTTTAACCCCTCTTTGCGCGACTGCGCAATGGTGAAAAGGCGACGGTGGTATGCTTCATCACTTTCCTTTCCTTCTCTGGGGAACCAAAAGATTTTTTGGTCATTATGTTGCACGCCAAGCTTGCATGCGAAGACACCTTCTTCTCCGCTTCGGGCCACTAGCTGGTCAGCAGTAGCAACGGGAAGCTGGATTACTGTGTTCAAGAATACTTTGCTCTGAATGGTCTCAGACCACCACTTTCCACCAGATATCTGACTGACCTTGATGTCAGGGTGCAAGCTAGCAACGCTTGCTAGCACGGAGTTTGGAGTGTCCTTGTAGCCACTGCTGTGAAGGTAGGCACGGAAGTGCGAAGCAGCTGTCAGCCGCACTGCAACCCTCTTTATGGCTGTGACTTGTGTTTGTATGATTTCAACTGGAGGCAACGTCCATGGTCCCCGGGAACCTGTGATTGCGTCCATCAGCGAAACATCAAGTTGGCGGCTAACTTGGTTCTTCTTTTTGGCCGTTACACGCGTGTGATAAGCACCAGGTGTATCTTTGGCCTCATCAGTGAGGATCAGAGTCATACTGCCATTTAATGCATGAGCATCTATCAAGCTCTGCAACTCTTCCAGCTGTGCCTTGGTGTTGATATGCATAATGTTTCCCACGATCGTGTCACCAGTCGTGAGATTTTGTTTGAGCGTCTGCAAATGGATCAGAACAGGTTTCATGGTCCACTCGGAAATTCTCAGTTCTGTGATACTTGGATAGACTTTCGATTGTGTGGCTGTCTGCTGATACCAGTCACGGTGATAGACATAGTCATTTTGCCATTGTTGGTGGGCTGAGACATCTGCTTCTGCTTCTGCTTCCTCCCACCACCACTCATTGCTGGCGTAACTCCATGGCTTTCTTTTCTCAGTGTAATTCCCAGTCTGGTTCCACCAAGCTGAGTCAGCTTTGGAAGACTTTGGAGGAGCGCTGCTTGGATAGAACGTTTGCTGCTGTTTCTGATGACCATTGAGGGCTTGTTGCACCGCTTGTGCAACTTCCATGTCATCATCGCAACGGGCACGGCAATCTGCTAGAGTACTTTCAAGCAAAGAAAGTAAAGAAGCATTTTGGTGCATGGTGTCATCGGGACCCTTCTGTCTTTTGGGTGCCCTCTGTGTTTGCATCCATTGGTTTAAGGTTTGTTGCAGCATGTCGGCCAGATTGACCTGCTGCTCCTTTCTTTCTCTTCTTTTCCTTGTTGCAAAAGAACCAGCCCCTCCATGGCCACCGGAGAGTTTCGTCCAAATTGCTGCATGATTGTATACAGGTCTCTTTCTGTAACAGCCATATTTGGGTTTCAGGCTTTTGCTCCAACAGCGCTGTGCAAAGCGCCGAATTCTTGTGTTTGCTGCTTTGACCCTCTGTTTTTTGCAAAACCTGGCAGGGAAAAAACAACGTTTGCCAACTGATCCCTTCAGTGTGGGAATCAGGCAGCTTCCTTTCTTCCTCTTGGGCTTTTTCTTTTTCTTCTTCCTTTTCCGTTGTCCCGGCGTTGCTGCGTAACATCCAATGGTGCCACAAAACAAAAGCAGGGCTGCTAATGGGACCAAAAAGTGCGTGTTCCACTTCTGATCACTTCTGATTTCATCGAATGATGCATAAAAATAATGGTACGCGTGACTCTGAGAAAAGTCTAGATTGCTCGCCTGGGTAGTACCCACGCAGTTTAGAGTCGCTGAACATGCAAAAAGGTCAGTGACAGTAAATTCAGTTGAATTCAAGTGCATCTGCAACACATCGCAAACAGTGTTGCTAGTGCAACTGGAGTGCAAAACATGTCGAACTGGCTGTGCTGAAGCTGTAGGCAAGGTGCACAACAAAGCCAAGATCCAGCCAGCAGTACGTATAGATATTCGTGCCTTTCCATAGCCAAAGCGCCAGGGAGAGGCCTGCAAAGATGTCGCAAATGTGATGTCGCCATTTGTGCTAGCAAACACGATGCTCCCCGCAAGAACCACGATGGAGGAGGCGACATTCTTGCCTATGGAGATGTCGTTGAAGCTGAAGCCGCACACTGGCACCCGGAGGCGGTGTAGCGGCCAGAAAAGGAGCGCAGCACAGCTGCGCTCAGGGTCCTTACAGGACGGTTCCCCCCACACAGGGGGCCCTGCCAAGGCGCAATCTTTTCATCCGGGCCTCGGCAGCCACTGCGCGGATCGTGGCCATTTGGCCCAAACAGGGGTGCACCCCATTTTGATTCCAGCCCATGCGAGCGCACATGGGATCGGTGGGTTGGTCAAACACCCTATGATCTTTCCAAGTTTCACACTGCCAAAGAACGTGCTCAGTAGAAGGACAGACAACGCAGTGACAGTCCGGACAAAATTCTCGGAGGCCCTCAATATGAGCATCAGTGGTAATGCCCCCACAGAGCACAGCCACCTGATCACCACTTGCAGAACGTGCAAAGGACCTAAGTTTGTCAATGAGTTCCTCAGTCGCATGGATTCCTTGTGCCCTGGCAAGCTGAGAATCAATGCGTTCAGATTGCACCCAAGCGGTGAACCTCGTTGTACGCCAATGCTGGCGAAACAAATGTTGACACCTTGAAATGAAACCTACCGGCATGCTAGTCAGCCACCGGCCGTTGAAAAAAGAGAACCCCACCTCGGGAGTCCAAGAACCTTGCAGGCGTTGGACAGCAGCCTGCAACGCTTTGATAGGAGCTGAATTGATGGCGATCTGATTTGGACGAAGCGCCCACTTATGAAGAGCCGTCATAAACCGTTGGGTACTTAGAAACAAAAGGTCAGAACAGTGGCCCATAGCCATTACAGCTGTGAGGTCACGAGAGTCGTGGCCCCCTGGATGATCAAAACCTTGAACTGCACATCGCCAGGTCTGAGCATAGGCCTGGCATTCCTGTTTTGTCGGACACCGACCATTGAAAAGAGCTCCCCAGGAGGCAGTGGGCGCCAAGACGCTGACTGCAACCGAGTTCCTGAAAGCCTTAGCTGTGGGCAGGAGCGCTATTCGACGAGCGACCTGTGCCACTTTATCAGAACGTTTCTGTTCCTCCTCAGTCCTACTACGGGGAATTAAACCCATACAAACACCCAAAATTTTGGCCGTATTTTGAAAGGGAATGCCAAGCTGCAGGCATTCGACCCGAGCATCCAAGGTTCGTGGCAAGAATTGTTGTTTAGATGCATTATTGCGAAGACGAGTGTTTTGGAACAGAACTTCCCAAGCCTGAAGCGCTTGGTTCAAGGCCTGTCGGCTTGTGGCGACTAATGTCCTGTCGTCCAAATATATTAAGGACCTGGCGTTTGGTTCCTGGCTGAGGACGAAACGACTGGCAACGGCCATTAGAGCGCTCATGGCAATTGGAGACCATGGGTCTCCTTGGGGGAGACCGGCTGTGTTTTTGAGCGGGGCGGGATCAATTGCCCCGCGATAGCTGAGCCACCTTTCGTGGTGGTCCCATTGGTCCTGCAGGAGTTTAAGGATAGGTGCCTGAAGACCTGCGTGTTTGAGGAGTTTAAGACACACGGTCCAGTCGGTGGTATCGAAAGCTTTCTGCAGGTCTAATGCCATGGCATATGGCCAATCCTGAGCTTGGTACTTGTTTTCCATGGTGAGTAACAAATCCTGCGCTGCTAACCCATTGCACCCAGCCTGATCTTGACACAGAAGACCCTCCACAAAAGATTTGCAGTGCTGAAGTCTGATGGCTGCCCAAATGCGGTAGGCAGTGGGGCCTACACTGATTGGACGAACATCCCCTAAACCTGCGACTACTCCCTTTCGAGTGGTAGCCTTAGGCAGGAAGCAAATTTTCCAGTGACGCACCTGCGTGGGCCAACGGCCAATGTTTTCACATGTCTGAAGGATCTGGGCGAACCTGTCAATCGCCAGTTGTGGCAAACACGTGAGGTGACGGGGTGTGATCCCATCCGGCCCTCCTGCTTTGTCTTTCATTTTCCTGGCTACGCGAATAATGTCTTTGCCTGTGATAGGAGGCAATGCTTCAGTTTGGGCCGGCATGGGAAAATGTTCTTGAAAAACTTCAGAAAACTGATCCCATGAGTCCAAAGCAGTCCCCAAAAGTGCGAGACCAAAAAGTATGGAGTGCAGCGAGAGCTCTTGGTCTGGAAGTGAGGATCTGACCGGATTCATCTTGCAAAACCGGAGATCCAACCTCAGTCAATTTAACCCATTTGCAAGCGCCGCTGTGGTCTGTGACCTGAGTTTTCCATTTGTTTAACTTTTGGCTAGATTTATTTTGAAGAAGAGCCTGGAGCCTGCCGTGAGCTAAACGTTCTGCCAGACCGAAAGCTGCTTGACGGACCGCCTGCTTTTCAGGAGCAGGCACATCCCTGGTGGATTCAAGTTTTTTCTGCAAACCCGGGTTGAGTTGGTACCCGAGGTGACTGAACTTCCGAGCTTCTTGCAAACGCCGAATCCAGCGACGGAGCTTCCGCTCAGCAAGGGGCTGCAAAGGGCCCATAGCATGAGTGCTGGTTTGAACCCTGGGCGCTGAGCCCAGTGGCCGTTCAGGTCGACCTTGGTCTAAAATACCATTGCGGGTCAGCCACGTTTCTATATCTTGACACCAAACTAGCCAAGCCTGGTCCACATTGCTGAGCACCTCTGTCCATCTCTCGTCTGATGTACAGCTGAGAGCCCAAGCTTCCTGCTGAGAAGGAAAATTCTGTTCAGCCATTTTCCTGGTGTGAGCAAACCTGAACTGTTGGCGTCCAGGCTTTTGCGTTTGGACTTCCCAATGGACTTCAGCTAAAGAGTGATCTCCGTCCCCTGGCTGCCACGAAAAGGCAGCAGTCGGGCGAAGATCCAGCGAGGACCAAATACCGTCGATTGGAAACCTACTGGAATTGTGACCAGCATGAGCCCGGCAGCAACCTTTGATTTCGTTCATCAGAGTGGCGCAAGTACCAGCCATTTGATTCGTATTGGCATCCATAGCTACGATCCAAGCTTGGTCCATGTCACTAGACAGAGTCTGGCTAATACGGGTAAGACCTTGGAAATCTTCATCATCAGCATGGCGATAATAACTGCAGAGTTTAAAGGATTTATTTCCTCCGTGTACTTCGGCCAGCACAAACTGGCCCTGAGGATCGCTCCAAGTATCGAGAACTAACCCAAGTGGCTCACGGCAGCAGATAGCGACGCCCCCTCGGTTGGAAGTACCTTGGGGAGAAGGGACTTGCAGCATTTGCCAACCGTGCCTTAGACATGCATTGACGACTGCCGGCGCATTGGTTGACGTGATGTTCATTTCTTGTAGGGCCACCAGCGAAATACCTGCAGTCTGAGCCCTATCCAAGCAGGCCATACCATTGGTGTGCCAGGAACGAATGTTTTGGCTCCACATCTTGACGACGGGACAAGGACCTGGGTGTGAAGCTTCACCTATCCGTTGGGCTCGGTGCCCTCGACGTGTTGCACGAACACCATCAGCGACTTTGCTAAGTCTCGCAGCAACCTTAAGACATGTCTGCCAAATTTGCTTTCTGCGCTTTAGACTAGGTGCCTTGCTGCAGCGAGGATGGGAGGAACAAATAGAGATGGGCAAATCACCTGCCGTAACCATTCGGCAGCACCGCTTGCACTGGTATCGGGGGTACTGTAACACTTTACCCGATTTGCATGTGTAAAGAGTGACGCAAACTGCCTTACTTCCTATGTCATGTGCACCGGCCCAAGCTCTTTTTTGGAATTCAGCAACCCTGTGTTCCCAACGTTGTTTGACCACGGACTGAGAAGTTTGGACCGCTTGGACAGCAAAACCCTGCCTAGGGATTGGGGGGACCTTACGCCAGGCATGTACTTTTTGCAAGTGGTTTTTGCGTTTGTACGAGCGGCCCGAAGATGGCTCAGCTAGGGAAATTTTGAAATCGCACAGTGAACACGACCACCAAAATGTTGTGTGACCGCCATCAGCTTCGGATGGCATTAGTGGAATGCCCCCAAACAATTTGGGAGGGGATGATAAACTATTTACCATGCTAAGTCGTTTTTGGTTGTTCAAAAAGGAGAAGTGATTCAAAAGGTCTTGGCTCTCCGCTCTCTCCTTTGCAATCGATTCCAGAGTTTGAGCCCACCACTGATTGGCGAGTTGCAATCGTTTGGCAATGCTGGGCAACTTGGAGCCACCAGCGGCATTGCTGGCAGAACACAATGTTTGCACGCCCCGATTCCAATGGGTGAAGGATTCATCGCAGGCTTGACACTTCCATCGGCGCCAGCCTATGTTGACAGGTGTGAGCTCATGCATGCCTGCCCACCCGCGCTTCTTTGCCAACAGCAACCAAGCTTGGCACCGCTTGGACCTTTCTTCCCGCTTGGTTTGGACTCCCTCACCAGGAGCACCCGGAGGGTCAGGCGGCATGTCAGAATATTGGATTCCGTGAACCTGATTTAAGTGTTTTCTGCGACGCGGCCCATGACACGTGAGGTCTTTGTGCTTCAAGACCTGAAAACCGCACGTGCAAGTCCACCAAACAGAGATAAGGTCGGGCAGCTGAACAAAAGGCTCACGTTTAGTAATACCACACGTCTCGGTTGCGGAAACCACTGGATTGGTTTTCCTCTTCTTGGTGGAAAGGTCCAACATACTGGGCACAAAAGTGTGACTACGCTTTTTACTCGCTTTAGATCCTGTGGCTGATTCACTTGGTGATCTTTCAGGGCTGAAGGTCACAGTGTGAACCGAGGGAGTGTCAGGCTGGAAAGATTTGGCTTGCTGAGCAACTTTGATTGGCACATTTTTGCTGCTAGCTTTTTTACTATGCGATCCATCAGGGCTGAAAAAACACGTATGTACCGATGGGGTGCTTGGCACTGATTCCGCAAAAGAAGCTGGCTTGACATCAGAATCTGCCTTTTTGTTGCGAGGGTTTGTGGACCCTGGAGTGTTCGTGCCAGCACCGGCTAGTTTCTGAGAAGGCGGGATATCAGTCTCACGCAACCACCTTTCTGGAAATTTGGTGCCAGTTGGTGGGATTAGCAACTGGTAATGCCCGCTTTGGAGCGTCACTGCGATTGGTTGGCAACCTTTGGCTTGGCATGCGATACCCTTTGAAAATCGTGGAGCGTGGAGCATGGGTGTAACGTTGCCAGACTTCCGTGCCATCCTTCTGGACATCACAACTCCACAGGATCAGAACAGTTCCTGTCTTTTCACAAATTGCCTGAATCAGCATACCATCAATCCAAGCACCTTTCTTGGAGGTGGCTTGAATCCATGCTTCAAATGAATCAAATTTTTCTCCTGAGGCAGGATCGCTTGCAAAGAACTGACTGTATCGAGCCAAGTGTTGAGGTTTGCGAATATGTTGAAACACACTTGCACGAAGATTGGATGCGTTTCGTTGCGCAGTTTCGGCATCCAGAAACTGCCCATTTTTATTGAGTTCCAGCCCTTGCGAAACAACTAAGTATCCACAGTCTCCTTCGCCCCCGCACTCATGTCTCTTCCACCCTGCGTGAAGTAAGGCTTCCAATTCAGACACTGCTTTTGGCGGGGATGGCACTTCCGGAGTGGCTGGATCAATTTGGGTTGCATCAATCATGTCCGATGCTGCAGGGCTAAGACTACGCTTTCGCGCTGGGGCATCATCAGCGCGTGTTTGTGCGCGTAATGTTCTTGGAGGCCCTGGCACGGACTGGTCATCTCGCCATTGTTTGCGAGGGCCTGGCACAGCTTGAGCTTTACAAGCCTGTGCCTTTTGAGGTGCTTTGTGGATATATATTCTAGTGGATGGTGGAATTCGGTATTCCCAAGCTGTCTGCGAAGGCAATCCCGATTGGGGGGACTTTGCTTTGATCCACCAACTAGTTTGTCTGCTTTTTCGTTGGCTTTGTCTACTTAATATACATGGTTCTTCCCAGTTTTGCTCCTGAAGAAACTGAAGAACCTCTTCCTGCTGCCAGTCATGCGGAAAGCCAGTGGCGCACCAGTGGCTGAAGTTGCTGGCAAAGGCCGCTGTGTCTTGCGGCGATGCAAAGAGGCCCAAGTCATTGGATCCACCTTTCCTGAGCTTTAACCCCTCTTTGCGCGACTGCGCAATGGTGAAAAGGCGACGGTGGTATGCTTCATCACTTTCCTTTCCTTCTCTGGGGAACCAAAAGATTTTTTGGTCATTATGTTGCACGCCAAGCTTGCATGCGAAGACACCTTCTTCTCCGCTTCGGGCCACTAGCTGGTCAGCAGTAGCAACGGGAAGCTGGATTACTGTGTTCAAGAATACTTTGCTCTGAATGGTCTCAGACCACCACTTTCCACCAGATATCTGACTGACCTTGATGTCAGGGTGCAAGCTAGCAACGCTTGCTAGCACGGAGTTTGGAGTGTCCTTGTAGCCACTGCTGTGAAGGTAGGCACGGAAGTGCGAAGCAGCTGTCAGCCGCACTGCAACCCTCTTTATGGCTGTGACTTGTGTTTGTATGATTTCAACTGGAGGCAACGTCCATGGTCCCCGGGAACCTGTGATTGCGTCCATCAGCGAAACATCAAGTTGGCGGCTAACTTGGTTCTTCTTTTTGGCCGTTACACGCGTGTGATAAGCACCAGGTGTATCTTTGGCCTCATCAGTGAGGATCAGAGTCATACTGCCATTTAATGCATGAGCATCTATCAAGCTCTGCAACTCTTCCAGCTGTGCCTTGGTGTTGATATGCATAATGTTTCCCACGATCGTGTCACCAGTCGTGAGATTTTGTTTGAGCGTCTGCAAATGGATCAGAACAGGTTTCATGGTCCACTCGGAAATTCTCAGTTCTGTGATACTTGGATAGACTTTCGATTGTGTGGCTGTCTGCTGATACCAGTCACGGTGATAGACATAGTCATTTTGCCATTGTTGGTGGGCTGAGACATCTGCTTCTGCTTCCTCCCACCACCACTCATTGCTGGCGTAACTCCATGGCTTTCTTTTCTCAGTGTAATTCCCAGTCTGGTTCCACCAAGCTGAGTCAGCTTTGGAAGACTTTGGAGGAGCGCTGCTTGGATAGAACGTTTGCTGCTGTTTCTGATGACCATTGAGGGCTTGTTGCACCGCTTGTGCAACTTCCATGTCATCATCGCAACGGGCACGGCAATCTGCTAGAGTACTTTCAAGCAAAGAAAGTAAAGAAGCATTTTGGTGCATGGTGTCATCGGGACCCTTCTGTCTTTTGGGTGCCCTCTGTGTTTGCATCCATTGGTTTAAGGTTTGTTGCAGCATGTCGGCCAGATTGACCTGCTGCTCCTTTCTTTCTCTTCTTTTCCTTGTTGCAAAAGAACCAGCCCCTCCATGGCCACCGGAGAGTTTCGTCCAAATTGCTGCATGATTGTATACAGGTCTCTTTCTGTAACAGCCATATTTGGGTTTCAGTCTTTTGCTCCAACAGCGCTGTGCAAAGCGCCGAATTCTTGTGTTTGCTGCTTTGACCCTCTGTTTTTTTGCAAAACCTGGCAGGGAAAAAACAACGTTTGCCAACTGATCCCTTCAGTGTGGGAATCAGGCAGCTTCCTTTCTTCCTCTTGGGCTTTTTCTTTTTCTTCTTCCTTTTCCGTTGTCCCGGCGTTGCTGCGTAACATCCAATGGTGCCACAAAACAAAAGCAGGGCTGCTAATGGGACCAAAAAGTGCGTGTTCCACTTCTGATCACTTCTGATTTCATCGAATGATGCATAAAAATAATGGTACGCGTGACTCTGAGAAAAGTCTAGATTGCTCGCCTGGGTAGTACCCACGCAGTTTAGAGTCGCTGAACATGCAAAAAGGTCAGTGACAGTAAATTCAGTTGAATTCAAGTGCATCTGCAACACATCGCAAACAGTGTTGCTAGTGCAACTGGAGTGCAAAACATGTCGAACTGGCTGTGCTGAAGCTGTAGGCAAGGTGCACAACAAAGCCAAGATCCAGCCAGCAGTACGTATAGATATTCGTGCCTTTCCATAGCCAAAGCGCCAGGGAGAGGCCTGCAAAGATGTCGCAAA